AGGTGCATTATCATAAGGGTCTTCATCCTCATCGTCCTCATTATGAGTAGGCTGAAGAGGAGGAGGAGGAAGAGGAGGGGTGGTTACGTTCTGTCAGGGCTGGCAGAGGTGGAAGAGCCGGGGAAGCAGGAGAGGCAGGCACACATGGGGTGTAACTTTATGGAAACACAACATAATTCCTGTCTGACTTTTCTGCTTTTTCATTTCTCTCAAAATGTTTCTATATATGGTACCAATCATTCTTCCACTGTTGGCTTTAGTTTCAGTGCCAGTATTATAGAAGGGTCCACGTCATAAAAGCAATCAAAAAGCAGCCTTGAATAATTGGAATCCTTCTGCCAGACGGTCTAATGTCAATTGGTTTTCTGGCACTGCTGCTGCTACATCTTCTTCCTCGTTGTCTGGCACTGAGTCAGAGGCACTCATCTCCATCACATCATCTTCTGCTGACTCCTCGGGTGCAGTGTCTATTAGCTCTAGAATTTCTCCAGGATCCACATGCGGGCCCACACAGTTCAAATCCTTGTTGTTCAAGGTTCAATTGGGCTCTGTGCAACCTGACACTTGGTAGAAACAGACTATCCTAAGGTATTACTTATTTGAATTAAGCAGACTGTTTTGCTTTTTAAAAGGAATTCATGTGCTATAAATACTAATTTGTCTAAAAGTTTCAAGCTTTTTTCATACATGTCCCCTCCCCCCCCTTTCTTTCCTATTATAGCAATCAAGGTTGACTTTAGGTGGTTTGGGATCTGCAAAGTATGTTTCTGGATCACATTACTTTTGGAACATAATAATGTGCATCAGAAAACAAAGTGCATGACTCACTGCCAAGAATATGCCACTGGGTCATGACTACTCCAAAGGGAAAGCCACCATTGTACCCAAATCAGGAGCAGGTTAAGTGGGATTTAAATTACCCCATTTACTCTTCCCCTCTCTGGCCAATCCAGACAGGGTGAAAATAATTTGCACCCAGAAGATTTGGCTCAGCAACAATGAATTGATACGACCAATGAACTGTCCCAAGGAAGTCAAGCTTTCTTTTTATTTTAATTTGAAGTTTTCAATAGCCATTACTTCATTCTATCAATTTAAAAAGGCTAAATGAAGTAGCTATTACGAACTCATAACTTTAACAAAATAAATCACAACTTTTCTTTTTTTTTAATTGTGATTTGGGTGAAGATTTACAGAAATCACAACTTTTCTTTCTGTTACTTACATCTACTTTGTAAAATACCATTTTTCTTGTCTCAGAAGTTGTTAGCAAAAGGCTACTTGAGTGAATTTACATCACGCACATTTTAGTGTCTAAATGAGTTCTTGTCCAACTTTTGCTTTCAGATGATTGAGAGCCATATTTGGACTTGGTTTTGCAATTCTATTTTAACCTGGAGCTAGCTTAACAATTATACAGCAATAGTTAAGTTTTGTAGCAACTCAGTATTCATCAGTGCCTTCTTGGTTATCTCATTTGACTCACTATCCCTCAGATATTTATTGAGCATAGTGCTAGGCAGTTAGAGAAGCTGTTATTATTTCCATTTGACAAAACAAATACAGATGCTAAGTGATTTGTCTAGGGTTATACTGCTAAGTGGTGAAATTGGGAACTCAGTGTAGGCTCCTTGTTTGAAGATAGTGTCTGGCAGAGATTAAGAGCATGAGCTCTGCAGCCTTGCCACCTTGTTTTAGACACCAGTGCTAAAATAAATCATGTAGCCTGGGGCAAGTTACTTAACCTCTCTGCTGTGGTTTCTTGTGAGGATTCAAAGAGAATCATAAAGCACTTAGAACAGTGCCTGATAAGCAGTAAATACTGTGTGTTTGATATCAGTTGGCACTTAGTTCAACTATTTTTTCTACATTATGCCACCTCTATTGCTACATAAAGGGTCCTGGTGGCACAGTGGTTAAGCGCTCGGCTGCTAATTTTTTGAACCCACCAGCCAATCTACAGGAGAAAGATGTGGCAGTCTGCGTCCATAAAGATTATGGTCTTGGAAACCCTTTGGGGCATTTTTATGCTGTCCAATAGGGTCGCTGTGAGTCAGAAATTACTTGATGGCAATATTTTTTTTAATCCGTCCATGGGTTAACAGACTGTTTGCTTTGGGAAACAGTGAGTTTTTTCTGTATTTCATAACTGTCAACTTCATTTGGCAAAACTACTACATATCTGCGCATGTGGCCTTTATGCCTAAAATGGTCTGTCTGGAATATTAGATCTTTTTAAAAATCACTTCTGTCTTTACACTCATTTTCTAGAAAACTAAGAAATGAAGTTGACCCGTATGTGATTAAATTATTCATAAGAAACTCTTTGAAGAAAAATCTCATTAAGTCTTTGTAAAATATAAAAATATAATTGTAGGATAACACTTTAAGAATAACATGGGAGGATTTCACTTTTTTTCCTACATATACACATGTGCTAGCATAATTTGAAGCTTCTGAAAGACCAAGGGTTTTATTGAATTATCTAGTAGGTAGTTCAACATGTCTAACAATTGTATATCTACCAGAAATTCCTTATTAAAGTTCCACAACCAATAAAACCAGAAGTTTAATCTATTATTAATTTGTTAAATGGTTCTGGGAGAAAACAGTTTTATTTACTCCAGAATCTTAAACATTGATCATATGAACATTTGCTGTTGTTGTTGTTATTATGTGCCCTGGAGTTGGACCCGACTCATAGTGACCCCTCCTTGGGTTTCGGAGGCGGTATCACTACAGTAGTAGATTGCCCAACCTTCCTTTTGAGGAGTGGCTGGTGGGTTTGAACCGCCAGCCTTCTGGTTAGCAGTCAAGTGCCTTAGGCACTACACTACCAGAGCTCCCTGAACATTTGCTAACAGTATCCATTTTTACAGTTTATATTACCTTACTCAAAGTAGTGGGGTTTACTTAATCCATGAGATAAAAATTAACAACAATAAGAGTTGGAAGAATTTGTTTTCCTTCTTTTTGTAATAGAATAATGTTTGATTACTTTGTTAAATATACTTTGGTTGGTTGATTGTTGAATCAAAGGCAAGTTAATGATTGCACTTTATGGTGAATGTTCATCTTACAGACTTTAAACATCTTCCAGAACCTAAATAAACGCCAGTTTGAAGCAGTCATTCATTTGTTTGAAGTTGCAATTATAGCAACTGATCTGGCTTTGTATTTCAAGTAAGTACATAACCACCTACAGTAAGTACAGAACTCTCCAACACCCTCTGAGTTTCTACCTTTCATAAATGCTCCATTGCATTAATGTTAAAAGGCATTCTCTCTCTCTCTCATACACACACAGATACATTTATCCATTTTCTCTTTGGATTATCAGTAGAATACCTTCAAAATGCCTGATAGTGAATTTACTAGATATTTTAAGCCTCTAATATTAAGTGGGAGCTCTGGTAGCATAGTGCCTAAGGCACCTAACTGCTAAACAGAAGGCTGGTGGTCCAAACCCACCAGCCACTCCTCGGAAGGAAGGTTGGGCAATCTACTTCCATAGTGATACTGCCTCAGAAACCCAAGGAGGGGTCGCTATGAGACGGGTCTGACTCGATGGCAAATAACAACAACAACATTAAGTAGTTTGGTTACCTAAAGAAATTTGACTTGAAGAATATGCAGCAAGGTTTGTGTTTTGCAAGGTCTGTGTTCCTGCCAGTGATGCCAGGAAACCTCCCAAGGTGGCTTTCTGTCTTGGTGACAACTATTGGTCCAGAATCTATTAGTGTTATAGGTTCAGGAGCTTGATCCTGTCAGAGTCTGGAAAATGAACTATCTGCGTGATTGTGATGACCATTAACCAAACAGCTCTGGGTTAACAAAAACAACAGAGTGCCAGCCTATTTACAGTAATAAAACATAACTGTCAAGGAGACCAGATATCCTAAGCTCCTGGCCAACATTTTCTTGTAAGGGAACTATAAAATAGTTTGGTGAAAACAGATTAGAACCAGGTGAGCTAGTTTCAGGATCCAAATATTTAATGACTTGTATGGTCATTTCAAATTGTGCCTCTCTGATCTTTTGATTAAAAATCTACTTATTAAATATTTCAAACATGATAGTAAGAAAATACAGTGGATATTCAAGTATCCATAACCCAGATTCACCAAATGCTAACATTTTGCCACATTGCCTCAGATCTCTATTTAAGAACAGACAATAAGACATTAATAATATAATTAAAGCATTTTGCCTCCATCCCATCATGACAATTCTCTCCCTTCTCCCTCACAGACATCATCATCCTGTTGTTGGTATATTTTCATCCTTTCCAATATCATATCACACTATGCATGGAGTTGTTTTTTTAATTTTTCCATAAAAATCGTGTTGTTGTTAGATGTGGTTGGCTGTCTAGTTGGCTCCAACTCATAGTGACCCTACGTACAACAGAACAAAACACTGCCTGGTCCTGCACCATCCTCATAAGCCTTGCTATGCTGGAGCCCATCATCGCAGCCACTGTGTCAGTCCATCTCATTAAGGGCCTTCCCCTCTTTTGTTGACTCTCCACCTTACCAAGCATGATATCCTTCTCCAAGGGATGGCCCCTTCTGTCAACATGACCAAAGTAGGTGAGACAAAGTCTGGCCATTCTCACTTCCAAGGAGCATTCTGGCTGCACTTCTTCCAGGATAGATTTGTTCATTCTTCTGACCATCTATGGTATTTTCAGTATTTTTGCCAACACCACAATTCAAAGGAATCACCTCTTCTTCGGACTTCCTTATTTATTGTCCAGGTTTCACATACATATGAGGTGACTGAAAATGCCATGGCTTGGGTCAGGCACACATTAGTGTTCCTGATAAAAATTATACATATGGTATCATACCATATATATCTGTTGTTGTTGTTGTTGTTATGTGCCGTCAAGTCAGCCTCAACTCATAGCAACCCCTCCTTGGGTTTCCTAGGCAGTGTCACTACGGAAGTAGATTGCCCAACCTTCCTTCTGAGGAGTGGCTGGTGGGTTTGAACCGCCAGCCTTCTAGTTAGCAGTCAAGTGCCTTAGGCACATACCTAGCAGCAACTTTTTTCACTCATCGTGTTTTATTCTTTGTGATTAGAGATCCAGTTCATTTGTTTTAACTGTATATTCAACTATAATTAATTTATCCATCCCTCTACTCATAGACATTTAGATTGTGTTCATATCGCTACAGTGTGTATCCTGGTACATATAAGAGTTTGTCTAAGGTGCACACCTAGAAATGGGATTGATGTAGGGCTTGCATATCTTCCATTTCCTTCTATATTGCAAAACCACACTCCTGAGTAGTTGTGCCAATTTACACTCCCACCAGCACTGTACAAGAGTTCCTGTTATCCCTTATCTGGAATACTTTGGATCTGGGCATATTTAAAGTGTTACTTATTTTGGTAATGTAATGCATATGAGATGGTTTCTGTTTTTTACATTTGTATTTTCTTGATTACCAGGGAGATAACATCTTTTCATGTATTTTGGGTTCTGATCTTTTGCTGGTAATTATGCTGTGAGGTCTCATCATAATCTGCAGCCTTTTTCTTTGTCAGGGTCTCCTGTCATATGTAACTTTCAGTTTGAATGTACTCAAATTTGCCATTTTTTTTCCTGTGTAGCATGTACTTTTTGTCTTAAATCTTTCATATGGCAAGGTTACACAGCCATGCCGTTCTTTTCTCCCCTGACTCCTTAGACTCCACTATCTGGACATCCTAATGCAAGCATCTGAAAAGCATGTATTTAAGAATCCCTTTTCTCTCCACTCTTACATGCTAAAATTTCTGCACAGTTGTCTCTTTTTCAGGAAAAGAACCATGTTTCAAAAAATTGTTGAGTCCTGTGAAAAAATGGAAACTGAAGAAGAAATTATCAAATACATAACCATCGACCCAACCAAAAAAGAGATTATCATGTGAGTGGTCAGAATTTTACTCCTCTTTTGGAGAAACAGAGGAGTTCTAGTGGTGTGGAGGTTAAGCCATTTAACTGCTAACCAGAAGGTTGGTGGTTCAAACTCACCAATTGCTCTGCAGAAGAAGGATGGGGCAGTTGGCTTCTGTAAAGATTTACAGCCTTTAAAACCCAATGGGGGTTGCTATGACTAAGACTCCACTCGACAGAAGTGAGTTTGTTTGTTTGTTTGTTTTTTAAACTTACTTGTATTTATTTCTATTTTAAAAAATTTCATTTTCTTCTAAAGGGCAATGATGATGACTGCATGTGACTTGTCTGCTATAACCAAGCCCTGGGAAGTACAAAGCCAGGTGAGTGCAATTGTTTTATTTCCTGGCCCACTCTCAGGTCCATGCAAAAGACTGAGGTCCCGTGTACTCACTTGTGTAAAAGTCCACTTATGATATCTAGCAAAACCTCAGGATTGTATTACTGCTATCAATAATATGGTTATATATTTGACACACGATTATCTTTCATTACACTGGACTTGTTCTCTCAAACAACTGGTTTATAATTTTAAAAAAAGGAAAAAGAAAAAAGGTAACTTGAGAAGTTATGTTATGACAACTAGAAATAGAATGTTCCCTGGTGGGTGTCTGTTCGTGGAGAAAGGCAGAAAGCTTCCAAGAGCTCACAAACATCAGTGAGACAATCGGTAATCTGATCAGGTCCTAGACCAGGGCAAACACAGGGAACCTTGGAAAGAAAATGGTTTCTTGTAGGAATTCCTCATTATTGAACAGGCTGTGAAGAGTGTATATAAAATTATTCAGGGAATATCTGTGGTTTTTGGTAGAGGAGAGAAGTCAGCAAGTGCTTCCTCCTATCAGGTTGGTTTTGCTCCTACAATTGTTTTCTTCAGTAAGCTGTTAATTATTAGTAAGCACTATCTGTGAGTTCATGTTCAAGGTGGTCTTCCACTGAAATTCTTACTTAATCATGGAGCAATGGAGGGGGGAGACACTAGTTTACCACTTGTTTTCCTACTTAACTGGATGAAGGAAACTTTTCCTTTTCCCTTAGCAAATTCTAGGAAAAACTCTAAGCAAAAGAGGCCAGATCAACTGGGTTCAACTATAAATGTAGATTGTATTTGGAAAGTACAATTAATTGGGACCCACCAAGCCCCAAACCAAGAGCCTGCACTCAGTCCACCCTGATATGCTTGCTCTTCCTCCGACATTCTTCATCCGTACAATCACCTAAGCCTGGAGTCTTGCTTCAGTGTATCTCCTCATTTCAAAATCCTTTCTATTGCCTTTGCTCCTGCTTCAGTTTAGACTTTTCATTGTCCTTCATCACAATGAGGACTCTATGGATGGTAGCCTTATCACTAACCCTCTACACTATCCTCTGACCTGCTCCTGGGATTACTTAGTAGAGCTCAGCCACTCCACTGCTTAAAAACCTTCTCAAAAAAAAACCACTGTCTTCTTGCCTGCGTGGTTTCTGCCAAGAAATCCGAGCTTAGTCTTATTGGTTGCCCCTTGTTGGTAACTTTTCATTTTTCCCATGCTGCTTTCAGGATTCTTTCTTTGTCTTTGGTTTTGGTGAGTTTGATGATACTATGTCTTGGTGATTTTCTTTTGGGGTCTATCCTGTTTGGGGTTCATTGGACTCTTGAATGGATATATTCTCATCTTTTATCATACCATGGACATTCTCTTCCTACAAATCTTTGACAATTTTCTCTATGGCTTTCTTTGTCTCTTCCTGTTCTGGATTCCAATTACATGTAGGTTATTCCTTTTGATGGTATCCTACATGAACCTTAGGCTTTCTGCATTTTGTTTTGATCTTTTTTCTGACCTTTCCAATGAAGTAGTGAGGTATTTGTCTTCAATCTCACTAATTCTGTTTTCCATTGATTCAATTCTACTCCTTTGCCCATTCAATGTGTTATCTATTTTTGAAAATTTAGTATTAATCTTCTGGAATTCTATCTGTAGATTTTGTGTCATTTCTAATTTTTCATTTATTTTGTCATTCTGTTCTTGTATTGTCTTTTGAAATTATTCTAGGGTTTTCTCTTTGTTTTCCTCAATTTTGTCAGTGTTTTCCTTGATCTGTCTCTGCATCTGTTGAAGGTACCTAAATTTAATTCTTTTGAATTCCTTATCAGGGAGTTCCAATGCTGCTTCTTCCTCAGGGATATGTACTGGCTGTATCCTGGTCCCTTGTTTCTCCTGGTTTATCTTGCTTCTTTGTGTGGACTCTGATGCTCTGTTGTCTTTGAGACATTGTGTTGATTTTGTGTTTATATTTAATTGGTGATTGTATGTTGGAGTGACTTGTCCATGATTTTTGTTTTCTCTGGATGTTATCTACATAAGCAGGGTACTGTGCTCCTCTATTCGCTAGTTGGCAGCACTTATACACTCACCACCTGTCTCCTTTCCCATTGTCAGCCTCCCGTATGTCCCTGCCATCCTTGGCAAATGGAGCCTATTCTTAGGTCCCTGGAATCTGAATGAGAGTGCTTTCACTTTAAATATCTAAGATGGCCACTGCTTGTAAACAGTCAAAATGGCTGCACAATTGGTCACTTTAAATACCCAAAATGGCCACCACTTGTAAACAATCAAAATGGCTGCACCCTCCAGACAGCTGAAAGTCCATAGCTCAGGTTGTCTGTCTCCTTGCTGTTTTCCTTCCTAGTCATAGGCCATCAACGCAGTCATCCCTGCAGCCCTTGGTGACCAGCACTGATCTTTAGGTCAATTCTCAGGTCTTAGTGCCACTTGGAAATATTCAGGCTCTTGGTTATGTCAGAGTAACTGACAGTCCGTGGTTCCAGCCATCTCTGTACTCACTGTTTTCATTCAGGTTTTTCCACTAATTGGTGCCTAATCCACTTCTGTATATATCCTTTCAAAGCTCAGGGCTCCAGGATTATCTTCTGTATCTCTGTCAACTGGTTTATCTTTTCTTTGTTGAAGAGGGTCTGTGTAAGCTTGTCTGCCTATTCCACCATCTTGCTGGAAGTGTGAACTTGATATTTCTTAACAATATGAATTAACCCTGAATCTCCTCACACTGTAATCAAGCTATGCACTAATGCATGCATATGTGTGTGAGTGTGTGGTGCATACACCCACGCATGTTCGGGTTTCTAACAGATAAAAAGACAAGAGGAAGACTTGGGAAGCATCAGAGCTTGAAGTGTAACATTTAATGGGATCAAACATCCTCTCAGCTCCCCCTTTTATTGTTGAGAGGTGCCTGCAACAGCAATGAGGATAGGCGCTTCCAGAATGAGTCCAGAACATTGAAGTAGGAAGATAAAGTTCTCCTTTCCCATTTCAATATAATCTGTAGATGATCTCTTTAAAACTTAGAAGCATATGATCCAAAAACATCTCAACTTCACCTATAACTCTATATCCTTAAATATCACCCATACTAATGTAAATTCTCTATTAATAAGTAGACTTTAATGAACCAAGCCTCTCTTATTTGCAGGTAGCACTTCTGGTTGCAAATGAATTTTGGGAACAAGGAGATCTGGAGAGAACAGTACTACAGCAGCAACCTATTGTAAGGACCCTGACACAAGAATGTATTACTTATTGAAAATTTTCAGTACAAATCAGTCTATTTTGTTTACTGAATCTTAGAAGACTATCTCATATGGATTTATTCTTTTTCTAGCCTATGATGGACAGAAGCAAAAAAGATGAACTACCTAAACTTCAAGTTGGGTTTATTGACTTTGTTTGTACTTTTGTATATAAGGTGAGAAAACAAAATTGATAATTTGCTTGAAATATGCAATCATTTGGAGAATTTTTCTTTTGAAGTGTAACAAAATCAAAAAGTCACCCACGTGGAAAGACGTTAGGGATGTTCTTGTTTCTCCAAAATGGTTTAAGGTTTTACCCTAATCTCTCATTCGTGGGTAGAATAAAATGTAAGAGAACTAAGATAGGAGCAAATTGAGCACACTCAGGCAGGCAAGGAGCTCTGGTGGTGTACTGGTTAAAGCATCTGGCTGCTAACCAAAAGGTCTGCAGTTTGAACCCAACAGCTGCTCCGCAGGAGAGAAGGCAGCCTGCTTCCTTAATTTACAACCTTGGAAACCCCTGATGGAGCAGTTCTACTGTGCCCTGAAGGTTGTCACAAGCCTCAGTCACTGAGTTAAGCTCATCCTCACAACTATAAGCACTGAAACTATTCAGCTCCTCCTCTGCATATGAAAAGTACTGAAGATCAGGTTTATGGCTTCAGTAGTTTCTGACCTAAAATTCTCTCTAGGAGTTCTCACGGTTCCACAAAGAAATCACACCGATGCTGCAGGGTCTTCAGAATAACAGAATCCAATGGAAATCTCTAGCTGATGAGTATGATGAAAAGATGAAGGTAATTGAAGAGGAGGTGAAAAAGCAGGAAGAAGGAAATGCAACAGAAAAAGGTGAGATGGAATCTGTTTCTGTTACGGAATCTGTAATCAAGCTATGCACTAATGCATGCATGTGTGTGCGTGTGTGTGGTGCATACACCCACGCATGTTTGGGTTTCTAACAGATAAAAAGACAACAGGAGGACTTGGGAAGCATCAGAGCTTGAAGCATAACATTTAATGGGATCAAACATCCTCCCAGCTCCCCTTTTTATTGTTGAGAGGTGCTTGCAACAGCAATGAGGACAGGTACTTCCAGAATGAGTTCTGTTTATGTAAAGTGCCAAAGTCAGGCTGAACTTAACTTCACATGACAAAGGCATGAAAAGTAATTGCAAATAGGAAATGGGCTTTATTGTGCACCAAAGTTGATGAATGGTTTTCCATTCCAAACAAGATCTCATGACTTCAGATAGCATTGGCTGTTTGCATTGAAGCAGAGGTTGGGGGGACCACTAGGCTTCTTCTTTAAGGTGGACCCTGAAGCATCTCCACAGAACACTGAGCTTTTAGGAACAGCATGAAAAGCCACAGAATTGGTGAGATTAGAGTTCAGTGAGAAAAGTTTTTGTCCCAATATTATATATTAGCTGTGAAACTTTGGGCAACTTGCTTAACCTCTTTAAGCTTAATATTCTTCTCTATATAATAAGGTTTTACATATCTCCAATTACTTCTAGACTTAAGGAAGCCCAGTTTAAGTAAAGTAAAACTGACTAGTTTTGCCAAATATTTCAAATATTTGCACACAGTGCTATTTTTCTTGGCCTGAAATTCCTATTTCTAAAGTCACTCTAAGGAACCCAGGTGGTGTAAGTGGTTAAGTGCTTGGCTGCTGACCAAAGGCTGGTGGTTCAAACCCACCCAGCAGCTCAGCAGCAGAAAGACCTGGTCCTCTGCTTCTGTAAAGATTACAGCCAAGAAAATCCTATGGACACTTCTACTGTTTCAGGTGGTCATTGTAAGTCAAAATTGACTCAATGGCAAAAAACAACAAAGTCACTCTATCAGGTTTAATATTATCTTCAGAAAGCCTCTGTTAAAAGGCTTAGTCAATGGACCCAAATGTCATCTTGAAAGTGGAATGCTAACGTCATGACTTCATTATTTTGTCTCAAAGTTCACAACTCAAAAGTTTTGTAAGGAATTCCTACTCCTCAGAAGGAAGATGGGGCAATCTACTTCTGCAGTGATACTACCTCAGAAACCCAAGGAGGGGTTGCTATGAGTCGGGTCCGACTTGACGGCATATAACAACAACAACAATGAAGAAAGCATCTCTTTGTGGAAAGTTCTAAAAACAGAAGCATTCCTTTTAGGTTCTATTGTGTTTAATGATACTTTGAAGAATTCATAGAGGGAGAAAATATTTTGCTTAATAGGGCTAAGGATGTCCTTCAACAGAATTTTAAACAGGGTTTTCTGATTATATGACCCAGCAATTCCATTCCTAGGTATATACTTAAAAAGAACTGAAAACATGTATACTATTCACAATAGCCGAAAGGTGGAAAAAACCCAAACGTCTATCACCTGATAGAATTAAGTATTGACACATGCTACATAGATGAACCTTAAAAACATGCAAAGTGAAAGAAGCCAGTCACAGAAGACCACAAATTGTATGACTCCATTTATACAGAATGTCCAAAAATCTGTAGAAAGAAAGTAGACCAATGGTTGCCTAGAGCTGCAGAGAGACTGAGGGGAAACAGTGTGACTGCTAACGAGTAAAGCAAAAAACCAATCTCACTGCCGTCGAGTCGATTTCCACTCACAGTGACTCCTCTTTGGTTTTCTGAGGTAGTATCTCTATGGAAGTAGATTGCTCAGTCTTCCTTCCGAGGAGTGGCTGGTGAGTTTGAACCACCAGCCTTCTGGTAAGCAGTCAAATGCCTTAGGCACTATGCCACTAATGAGTATGGGGTTTCTTTTGGGGGTAACATAAATGTTCTAAGGAGCTCTGGTGGTACAGCGGATAAGGCATTTATTTGGCTGCTAACCAGAAGGTCAGTAGTTCAAACCCACCAGCTGCCCCATGGAAGGAAGATGGGGCAATCTACTTCTGAAAATATTTACAGCCTCGGAAACTCAATGGGGGTTGCTGTGAGTCCAAATCAACTCAAAGCAGTGAGAATTTTGAGACAAACATTCTAAAATTAAAATTGTGGTGGTAGTTGCACAACTCTGTGAATATACTAAATGCCACTGAATAGCTCATTTCAAGAGGTACACAAATTACATCTCAATAAAGCGGTTAACAGACCGGGCAGTGTTTCATTCTGTGGTACACAGGGTCCCTATGAATCAGAGCCTACTTGACAGCATCAAACAACAACAACAAAGTGGTTAATAGTAAGAATGAGGCTGCTACAGGAATCCTTTAAAAGAAAATGCAGTTGAATTTCACGTAGACTGCTAAGAATACCAAAATTTCTGGGATTAGCATACCCTGTTTTTACACTGACTTCTCCCCTTTCTGTTAACGTACTTCTCTCCTATTTGAAACTATCTCTGTATTTTAAAAAAATATTTTAATGAGGAAATTTTATTCCAAAATGCCCTTTGAATTAAACACAGAAACACCAGCCCACCACATGACCAGAACTTGTACTTCTCCGTTGTTGTTGTTATGTGCCATTGAGTCGGACCCGACTCACAGTGACCCGTCCTTGGGTTTCTGAGGCAGTATCACTACAGAAGTAGATTGCCCCATCTTCCATCTAAGGAGTGGCTGGTGGGTTTGAACCGCCAGCCTGATGGTTAGCAGTCAAGTGCCTTAGGCACTATGCTGATGAACGCATTTTCTTTTTCAAAGTACTCTTAAATAAGTGTTTATTTCAATATTCCAAAGTATATACACCCTAACGTGGTGTTTATTATTTGATCTCAGTTTTTCTGCCAAACACCTTCACTGATAGTTCAAAACACACATAACATACGTTAAATTCAAGTGAAACCTGGCTGTTTAGTTTCATTAAACCTGTTGCCCTCAAGTCGATTCCAACTCATAGACCCTATAGGACAGAGTAGAACTGCTCCATTGGGTTCCCAAGGCTGTAATCTTTCTGGAAACAGACTGCCACATCTTTCTACTGCGGAGCAGCTGTTGTTGTTGTTGTTGTTTGCCATCGAGTCGGCCCCGACTCATAGTGACCCCTCCTTGGGTTTCCGAGGCAGTATCACTACAGAAGTAGGATTGCCCAACCTTCCTTCCAAGGAGTGGCTGGTGGGTTTGAACCGCCAGCCGTCTGGTTAGCAGGCAAGTGTCTTAGCCACTGGAGCAGCTAGTGGGTTCAAAATGCTGATCTTTTGGTTAGTAACCAACCACTTAACCACTACACTAAAGCTTTTGGCTGCTAACAAGAAGGCTGGCGGTTCAAACCCACCAGCCATTCCTTGGAAGGAACATTGGGCAGTCTACTTCCGTAGAGATACTGCCTTGGAAACTCAAGGAGCGGTCGCTATGAGCTGAAGTCAACTCAACAGCAGTGAGTTTGGTTTAGTTTTCACCAGGGCTCCTTTCTAGTTCAAAAAAACGTACCTAAATCCTTCAAAATTTTTGCCAAAGAAAGTAACCATGTGAATGACATGTTTTAATAGAGGTGGGATGTGATCAAAATAACCTACCAACATAGTCTTCCCCTGCCTCCAAAGATAAGTTTAAATCTACTATCAGTGTTAGTTCAAATATAACTGAAAAGACTGCCTATAATAAAATCAGGAAAACAAAACAAAATCTGTGGTCCTTTTAAAAAATATTATCATGTGGCAATACTTTTTAAATCAATATGTAAAATATGCCTCATGTTTAACATGATTTTTAAAGAATTTCAATTCTTTAAAAATATAGTCCAACACATACCCACTCATATTTTTTTTTATTGTAGATATGACCTAACTCAACTCTTTCATTTTCCAAAGTTTTCATTATTCAAGTGTATAGATTAATAAGAATTGTGGAAACTTCCAGACTGTGTGTGTAGTTCAGTGTTTACCTTGAGAAACTGGGATGTTAACTAGCTAATTATTCATTAGAGCTTATCTCTTAAATGGAAAAATTCTAAGGATGAATTCAGGTTTTTAAGTGGTTAGGCCCTTAGTACTTGCTATAGGCTAAAATGGGAGCTCTGGTAGCGTAGTGGCTAAGGCACTTGACTGCTAACCAGAAGGCCAGCGGTTCAAACCCACCAGCCACTTCCTGGAAGGAAGATGGGGCAATCTACTTCCGTAGTGATACTGCCCTGGAAACCCAAGGAGGGGTCGCTATGGGTCAGGTCTGACTCAACGGCACATAACAACAACAACAACAACAACATAGGCTAAAATTAATAATTAGGCTATCAAGCTGACACTAATATCACAAGTGTTAAAATAAAAACACGATGTTCTCTGTTGACTGCCAATAACATTGCGTTTCTCCTTTTTACTAGCTGCAGAAGATTCAAGCGGTGGCGATGATGACAGAAAGTCCAAAACATGTCTAGTGTTGTAATATTACTACTCAACTGGTGTAAATTTCAAATACTGTTTCTACTTCCAAAGAAAAACAGAAAACACTCAAAAGAGCTTCAGCAAATTTCATTCATTAAAACTATCAAGTAATAGAGTAAGAAGATCTTCGGGCAAAGTTATCCTACCCCTGCTACTATCAAGAGAAAATACACTGCTAGCTTGATAACCCTGAGGGTAAAATAAAGTTCAACAAAAGTGCTAAATAAAACAAATGGGGGTATTTCTAGTGCCAGTTTGTTTTAAATTTAAAATATCCAACTCTGAAAGTAGTCACAAATTCTTTATTAAAAAAGTTCTTATTAACAATTGCGTGGTGCAAATGGCTGTTAACTAAAAGTTTGGTGGTTTGAAACCATCACCTATGCAGAAGGAAGGCCTGGCTATCTACTTCCGTGACCATTACAGCCAATAAAACCCTATGGGGCAGTTCCAACTCAACAGTACCTAACAACATATACATCAAACTCCTTTCTTAACTAAAAATCTCTCAGCAACATGTCTTAATATAAAGGAATACCAAATGTAAATACAGTATAGAAGACAAACAGGAAAAAAATGAGATGGTTCCATCTGAAACATTCTCTTTCCTCTACTTTTTACTCCACATAATGGAAGGTAAAGATCACACTTTTTTTTTTTTTTTTAACTGTGATTTAGGTGAGTTTACAGAGCAAATTAACTTTCCATACAGCAGCTCACATACACTTTCATGACATTGACTGCAATTTCCCATAATGCAACAGCTCCCCTCTCATTCCTTCTCATAGTTACCTCTTCCCTGTGTCCTTCCCTCCCTTGGACTCCTGCCCACTGAGCAGTCTCCCTATGCATACAGAGCCCCTCTATTCTCCCATGATTGATTTCTCCAAGGAGTGTATCTACCTAATGTATATGTTTAGCTCATATGCCTGTCTTTTGTTGGGCTGGAAGCCACAGGACTAGGTTCAAATCCAAACCTGAAGGGCAACTAGGGGCCATAGTCTCAGGGGTTCCATCAGGTTCTATCAGACCAGCAAAGCTTGTCTCTCTTTTTTTTAATGATTTTTTGCTCCACATTGTTCTCCCACTGCATCCAGGATCTCCTACAGAGATCCCCCTCTGAGTGGTTGACAGTGGTAGCCAGGCACCATCTAGTTCTTCTGGTCTCATAATCATATCGGCTAAGGATCACATGGTGTACCAGTCACTTGGACTAATTGTTTCCATGTGTCTTTGGTTTTCTTCATTCTTCTTTGCTCTGGATGAGGAGAGACCCATTATTGCATCTAGATGGCTGCTTGCAAGCTTTTAAGATCCCAGTAGTTACTCGCCAATGTAGGATGTGGAACAATATTTTAGTGTAGTATGTTATGCCAATTGAGCTTGATGTTCTCTGTGACTATGGTTGCAAACCCACAGGTCCAACTATTTGTTCTGTCTGGGTAGCTGGCTATGGCCAAGAAGTGATTACAACCTTGACCCTTGTTAGCTCTACTATATACCTGAGAATTCTTACAGTACATACAAATACACTTGTCTGCCAACACTGTACATGGTCATGAGCACACTCCCCACTGCATGGACATACCTAATAGTTCACCTGTCCACCCATCTACCCACCTGTAGATCAATGTTTGCCTTCACTGACAATGCAGTACTGTTATGTGCAAAAGGGTTCATCTTTGTTGTCTGTACCTCCCATGTACCTCTCTATGTCTTCCTCTTCCTCAATGCCACCATGTTGATCATTCACATTCAGTGCACTGCCCTTCTCTTCACCCAAATCAATACTTGTCTCTACCTAACTGTGTTCCCACCCCTACCCTCCCACCCCTGGTAACCAACAAAGAAAATTTCTTTCCATATATAAACCTTTCCTTGACTTTTTACAATAATGAACTAATACAGTATTTGCCCTTCTGTGATTGACTTATTTCACTCAGCATAATGTCCTCCAAGTTCATCCATGTTATGCGGTGTTTTGAAGATTGTACGTTATTCTTTAGTGTTGCATAGTATTCCATCGTGTGTATGTACCACAGTTTGGTTATCCATTCTTCTGTTGATGGGCACCTAGGTTGTTTCCATCTTTTGGCTACTGTAAATAGTGCTGCGATGAACATGGGTGTGTATATGTCTGTTCTTGTCCTGGCTCTCACTTCTTTAGCATATATACCTAGTAATGGATTTGCTGGGTCAAATGGTATTTCTAATTCCAACTTTTTAAGGAATTGCCATACTGCCTTCCACAGTAGTTGTATCATTTTACAGTCCCACCAGCAGTGTAAGAGAGTCCCAATCTCTCCACATCCTCGCCAGCATTTGTTATTTCCTGTCTTGTTGAACTGTTAGCTTTATGCACTTTTGGAGCAGAATGTAGCAGTCAGCTCAAGCAGCTTCCCCTCCTTATTCACAAGAAACTGAACTGAGGGTAGACAAATGTCAATGAAGATCCAACAAAGTATGAACTTTAAGAGCAAGTATTAAGAAAAGCTTAACTTCAAATGCCCCAAAGTTTACTGAACACTCCTGACTGCACTAAACTTTAGCAGAGTTTGAGATAGGTATATTGGAGAATTAACCTTTAAGGCAATCACAGACGCCTTTTCAAAGACTCCTTAAAAATATGGCTTCCATTATTTGCCATTATATATCAATAGATTAAATGCTGTGATTATATATAATGGCCTAAGTCCTTATCATAAACCATACTTACCATACCAAATACATGAGTCTACTTTAAAAGGGTCTTTAGATAGTCTTCCTAGTCATGTACTTAATTTTGCAGGAACTTTATTTTCTGAGTACTGCTAATAAATATGTGTATTTCATAAAATATATATATATACATTTCATAAAACATATTTTAATTAAATATATTACTAAGGAGCTCTGGTAGAGCACAGTGCCTAAGGCACTGCTAACCAGAAGGTTGGCAGCTCAAACCCACCAGCCATTCTGCAGAAGGAAGAGGGAGCGATCTACTGCTGTAAAGATTTACTGCCTTGGAAACCCAGTGGGGGTCACTATGACTCAGAATCGACTCAATGGCGGTGAGAAACATATTACTAGTATCACAGTTTCATTGCTGGACATTTCATTGATTTTTCTGAGAGTGATCTAGGAGGCAATTTTTAAAACATTTATTGTGGTCAATACATGTAACAAAAGATTAAAACCATAACATCACATTCACCATGTTTCACAACCATCACTGCCATCCATTTTTAAGTTTTTTTTATCACCCCACACAGAAACTCAGTACCCCTTAAGCTGCTGGGCATTTCTAATATGTTTTACTCAAAAATTAAGATGACTTTATAGCCACGACTATGAGAGGGGAAAAAAAATTCTTTAAGAAATAGGGGACTTTCAAACAAAGTCCAACAATAAACTAACAATGATACAACATTTTCTGGAAGAAGTTAGAAATGATTGCATCATATGTTATCTTTCTAGATAGGTCCTTTATAGCAATGTCCAGCACAGTGCCTCGCATAGAATGGAAACCTGATAAATATTTGTTGAATGAGTAACAACTATTTAATAAAAGAAATACTAGCCATTTTAAAATAAGACACTAAATTACTTGTTTTTCAGTTTAATGCCAATTGTTCCATTCCACAATGACATTTAAGCCGTTAGCTGATCTTTAATAGAATAACTGGGGATGTTGTCATCATCTCCTACATACTCTCTTATTCACCGAGTCAGGATCTTCTCTATCTAGCTATCCATCTGCTCTTTATAAAAATGGGTCTGTATTTTTTTTTTTTTTTAAATAAATCCTACGAAAATTTGATGAAAGGTATGGGCACTATCCTCAAAAAAACCAGAATTTTACACAGAGATTCTGAGTGCTTATATCCCGAATTACATCCATAGTACCTTGGCAGTGTGGACCTCAAGTCAAGAAATTGTATTCTATAATATATCCTTATATACACTGTACTTGCACAACTGCATCTGAGAGAAATTCTATGCACACAGTATTACTTGGTTAAATTATATTAATCTCTACAAAATCTACGTTGGGGAGTCAAATTTTATGAACACATCCTTTGTTTTAGACTATTGGCACCTTACTTGGTCCCTGTGGTGTTAATTTAATTTATAGTAAATTACCCACAGACCAAAAAGTCAAATGTAATTATAACAAACTGCCCTAAGTGGTAGAGATAAGAAGGAACCAAGAGAAAGGCAAGCCAAAAAAAAAAAAAAAAAAATCCCAGCCAGAAGGAGGTTGTAATGGACAAAGGGTTTGAAAGAAGGGTTGCCAATGTATCATAGGGGAGGAAAGAGTTAAAGACACACTTAATCTACTTTATACTTTTTGTGGGACCTCAAATAATCCTAGCAACTGTAAGGTAAAGGAAAATAAATATGAATTTTTAAAAATCTACAAATTCAGATTACTAGCTTCATCCTCTAAAAGTTATAGATGAAACAGACCTGCAGACAAGCAATTGAAAAGATGCCTGAGGGAGGGGAAAAGCATTCTTCACGTATCTCTTCATTCTCACCGTAGATTTCTTTCAACGCTGAATCTTCCTCATGCCATTTTATTTGGGTAGGTCATTTAGGGGTCTAGGTAATCAAGAGGAGCTCTTGGGCAAATCTACTTCCATAGTGATAACTGCCTCAGCAACCCAAGAAGGGGTTGCTATGAGACGGGGCCGACTTGATGGCACATAATGATGACGACTGGTGGTGTAGTACCTAAGGCACTTGACTGCTAACTAGAAGGCTGGCGGTTCAAACCCACCAGTCACTCCTCGGAAGACTGGGCAATCTACTTCCGTACAGATACTGCCATGGAAACCCAAGGAGAGGTCACTATGAGTCAAAAATTGACTCGACGGCAGTGAGTTTGTTTTTTTGTTTTTAGGTAATTAAGGGGAAGTTTGGACCAACTACTTCTATCTCCTTTTTCCACAGATGGTAGAGAATCAGATATTTCTAAAACAGATTTACAATTAAATGATCAAAAATCATAAGTTATACATAAGCCTATTTTTAAAGGGAATTAGCCAAATCTGTTATTCTGTTATTATGAGCCATTCTTACTGACTCATCATACTGACAACCCTCTTATGATAAAAAGGCCTCACTGTGTGTTTCATCATACAACTTAAATATCTGGGAAAACCAACATTAATGATCGTACAGAATTTGCTGCCTGAAAAAACTGAGAAAATATTTTGTGAGTCGGATTCTCTGAACTTTAGAGCACAGAAAAAGGATGGCTCTGTGGATCTGCAGTGGAGGAAAAAATTCTGCTGTCTCAGAATAGCTCTCCAATTCTTGCTTCTCCTCAGAGATCCCCACTGTTAAGGAGAAGGAACCAGTCACATCAAGCCCGAGGCAGCGTAACAGAAACTCAAAACGTTCCCTGGGATTCTCCTCACAAGCAATTCTTAGACCCACATGGTTGGCTTAATGGGGGGAATTCAGATGAAGGTAAAAGGGAGTAACTACTTAGCAAAAATACTGGGGAGGAAGAATGCATAAAGTTTTCTCCTTTCCACAGAATTTAAAGATAAGATCCGTATTTCTTAACAATATCTGGCAATGTTCTGCTATGGGAGAAAATGGTACTTTGAAGAGTATGTAGTGTTTTTTAAGTGAGTTGATGTTCTGAAGTGGCTTTGTGGATTGTGCTGCACTGCGCTGCAAAGTAAGTGATTTCTCACAGAACTAACGGACTTCCAAAGCATCTGACATCCTCAGAGTCGCTGGGTATTTATTTCCACAGCAAACCATTCAACCTGCAACTTACAGATACAACTTTACAAAGAGTTTCAAAGTGTACTTTCACTTTAAGGAATGGAATGTAGGCTTCTCTCTCCCTCTCACAAAAACAAATCTTGAAAATACTCATCAAATTCTTCTTCCCTATTAAAGAAAAAAGTATACATATTGATTAAAATCAGTAATTAGAGTAAAAGAAAAAACTACTAGGTGACACATTATATGAAATTAATAAAAATATGTTAAGTCAAAATATTGGCTGATTCCTCTATATATCAATGTATTTCCATGTTTCAGTTATCAAATAATGCTTAGGTTCTAGATGAGTCAGAACTATACCTATATTGATTAAAATTAAAGTATTTTATATATTGACACATCTTCCTAGATTTATTACCTAAGATTTTACTCCAAAGCATTTTGTGAGATGTCATTGCTTCTCTTAGTATTTTGGTTGATATTATAACTTCTTTGCTTATTTTCATTTCAAACTATGACCTGATCAAGAAAATAGAGGAAAAATAAACTATTTTTAAGGGAAAATACAAGTCTTACTCCTAGGAAAGGTGTTATTGAATAAGAAAGGGCAAACTATAGGCTGTAGTTTTCTATTATTCTGAGAACAGAAAATATATGATGTATTTATAGCAGTAAAAATTGTATTAAAACAAATAGAACTCTGAAAGGAGATATTGTTAGATTACAATGTAATCTAATGTAAATAGTATGAAAATTATAAGGCACTAAATAAATGTTAAGAAGCCTGAGTGGTGCAATGGTTAAGCACTCAGCTGCTAACTAAAAGGCTGGCAGTTCAAACCCATCCAGTGGCTCTATAGCAGAAAGGCCTGGTGATCTGCTCCCCTGAAAGATTACAGCCTGGAAACTCTACAGGGCAATTCAGCTTTGTCACATGGGGTCACTATGAGGTGAAATCGGCTCAATTGTATTAAATTAACATTTAGTATTAACATCAGTGTTAATACTACAAGCCAGGTGGTATACACTGAAAATAGCATGGGCTTTTAGGTCAGACAGTTTTTAAGTCCTAATACTGTCAATTATTAGCTCTGTGACCAAATTACTTCTCTGGGCTCAGTTTCCTTATCTGTAAAATAAATTAAAATTCCCTCATAGAGTTGCTGTGTGGATTAAATAAATATATAATTCCTTTTCTTTCTTCTGGAAATAGGGGATCAAGCTGAACAGTCAAGTTGGGTAGCCTACTAGTCTTTTTAGAAATGCTCTTTTTTTTTTTTAACCAGATGTCCACAATGGGACTCCATCTTACGGTTTCAAATAATTGTGAATGCATAAAGCCACCACAACCATATTCAAATGTAAAGAAAAAAAGTTACAGAATTAAATAAAGCTGATTTAAGAATTATCTGCAATTTTGTATTCCCTGTGCTGTTGTCCCTATTCACTGTCAGGAAAGCAAAGTGAAGAGGACTTTGAAATCATATGAAATTAGTTGAACTACTGTGTGGATTTAGATTTAGCACTTGATCAATGTCATGTCTTTATAATGTCACAAAGAGTTCTGGATTATGAAAGCCTTCTTAGGACTCACTCACATATCTTTATTGCCTAACAAGGCAAGCTGACTCTTAAAAGCTGTTCTGCCATTTTCAGCTATAGATTTCCTTCAAGAGGGAGTTATATTGTTGAGAGCTTAGTTAATTTTAACTATGCCAACCTTTTTTTAATTTACACCAATAGGTTTTTTATAATCTGACATATAATGCCTGAACAAAAAAGTTAACATCACAGAAAAATTTACTTCAGAGGCACAGAAACAGTTATCTTGTTAAAAACCTCTTTCTAAAATATCTGAATTCTATTACATTGAGACCATAACATATAGTTAGGGAGATGCTTCATAATCATCTTATATTACTGACTTATGATTAATTCAACAGGTTTCTATTATGAACCAATATGCCTACGGAATAACAGAATGGGTCTTAAGATTTACTGAACACTTCCAATGGTAAAGGTATTGTGGAAGCCATTATTTTATCCTCTTTTAATAAAATTCAAGTGGTGAATGTCTCAGTATATGATAAGAGCAGATACTACTCCAGCCCATACCCAGGCAGTATCTCCTTGTCCAACTCCACAGCAGAAAACAATGAGTGTCCTTTAGGGGATAAGGTGGGTGTTAGCAAGTAAACTTCTACACCTGTAGAAATCTTCAAGGGGGTTCCCCAGTGTGGGCTCACGATAATCAGAGTGTCACAGAACAGGCTGCTTTGGAGGCCAGTAAACAGCTCTTTTAAGAAGGAATCTGACCGCGGATAAGAAGGTCATCTGTTAAGGCAAGCTGCTGAAAGACTAATTCACTAAGAAGAAGTGGGGTTAGCTGGCTGTTTATGGTCACAAACAATGGCTAGGAATAAGCGCTAATGTTACTAGGCCAGGTTGTCCCTGGTATTAAATAGATATTCATGATGCTAAAGTTTTTCATTAACTGCTATCAAGAACAGCTGTGGTCACAGTTTCCTAAGATGATTTACAGGGCATGCCTTATCCATTAATACTGGGACTTACTGTGATTTTTCATCTGTCTCTGGGAGTGGGCCCTTCCAAAGTTCAGATTCTGAAGCACTTTCTTCTTCATCAGAATTTCCTATTCATTTAAAGAGATTTTTAAAAACTTGAGTATTATATTTAAAATACATTTTGAACTATCCACCACTGCAATTAACTTTTTAAATAATTGCTGTTTAGCTTCAACTTTTATGGTTCTCTAAAATTAATTCACTCTCTGTGATGCAATAAATTCTTTTTAAAAGTAACTAAGCTAACAAACAGTCTTAGCAAAAAGGCCAAGGATTTAAAGTGTTATGGGAAACTCCTCCAAGTCATATTGAGTTAAAGCAGCAATTCTAGTATCAATTCTTGCAAGGGAATTATCTCTTGCAATATAATTGTCTTTGATTCAGTATTTCTTTGCATTTGTCATACAAAAGACATGCAAATTTTTTGTAGAAAGCATATTTGCATCAGGATCAAGTCCTCAAGAACTGAACTAGTATGTAAGATGAGCAAAACCACAAGAAAAACTGTCAAATATTTTTTTAAAATTAATGCCCATGCCATTAATTAGAAGAAGCCTGTTTCACTGAAGAAGCAGGCATCCTTATAAATTATTGTGAGGGAGAATGGTGTAAACCAGTTTCTTTAAAAAAAAAAAAAAAAAAAAGTAGTAAATAAATCTGATAATATATATCAGTCTAAAATGTACACACTTTTGACCCAGCAATGCTGCTGTTTTTAGGAATTTAGTTATTTACTCAAAATAAATAAGTACTTTAGATACATGTACAAAGATGCTTAATGCATAATAATAGCAAAAGGAAATAACCTAACTCCTCACTGATTAGGGATTAGGGCCTGGGTAAATCAGTACTGTGCAGCTATTTTTTTTTTTTTAAAAGCAAAACTTAGCATATCCGTATGTACATTGTCATGGCAAGATATCCATGATATATCAAAATTTTTAAAAGTTACAGAAAGTACACAAAGTATAATCCAAATTATGTTAAATATATATGAATATATTACAAATATACACGTTTTTAACACAAATTAGAATATATATCACATTACACACATGCATAAATTTACATATGCATGACAAGTTTGTAAGAATCAAAGAAACTTAACATATTACCTGTGGGCCTGGGACACATTTATTTTCTATCTTAAACATTTAAAAATTGTTGTATTTTAAACAATGAGCATGAACAACTTCTAAAATCAGTAAAAACAATAAATATACTACCATTTTGAAAATGTACAAAATAGGTGTGTTTCACATGGATCATCCTACATTGTTGTTGTTGTTGTTGTTGTTATGTGCCGTCGAGTCAAACCCGACTCATAGCGACCCCTCCTTGGGTTTCCGAGGCAGTATCACTACAGAAGTAGGATTGCCCAACCTTCCTTCCGAGGAGTGGCTGGTGGGTTTGAACCACCAGCCGTCTGGTTAGCAGGCAAGTGTCTTAGCCACTATACTACCAGAGCTCCCTACATTAGTCAATCAAAAATTATGAAATACTGAACAATGTATCGTGAGGCAATAAAGTCATTTTCCAAAAAGTAATTAATTACATTAGCAAATAATTCGTCTCCTATAATGACCACTAACTAGGCTAAAAAGAAAGTGACATAAATATTGTCTTTCAACACAAGACATGCCTTAGTTAAACAAAACACAAAAATAAAACATCATTGATTTACACTGTGGTTCTAGCCCTCTTCTGCTGGACTTTGATCCTTGAATCAACATGAATGCCTGAACCTTGGTACTAACTGAATCTATTCTGGTACAAATTCTAACAAAAATGGCAAATTAAAAAAAAAAAAGGAGCTACATTTTGAATGATCTACATACAAAGATGATAAAATCAGAAAGTCTCAGGAATAGGAGTCTTACTCATTAACAGCCAGCACTAGAATTGCCAGTGTCCCAAATTGCTTATGTGTGTTAAAAGAATAAAAGTCCTCTACTCTTACTATTATGGAAACTAAATACAGTAAATTCAGGAGAAAAAAAATGAAAAGTACAGAATCACTAAATAGGCTTAATAAAGTTATTACTATGGTGTTACTGTTAATGGTGTCAGAGAACAAAACCTGTAAGGCCTTTGAAAGCCAGCAAAGATGAGAAGACCTTGATATTAATTTCAAAGGACTTTACAGCCACCTGTTCTCTTGCACCTTTCCAAGAGTACTTCCCACATGCCAGCTTTCCTATACCAAGTTTCTGATACCAGACAATCCAATTTTACTAAAACGTTTAGAGTAACATTATAAAGTAACGCTCTCTGAAAGACCACATGCTGAAAAAGTGGCCAAATGTCCTTGGAAAATCAAGTCCACAAGGTTAGACTAAATAACCTTTAAGATCCCTTACAACTCCATGAATCTACAAAATCCTGCTTTCCTGAAGGTGACAGTAATTACAAATCATTCCTGGTAATTGCTACAACTTGCCAGAGTTGTGAGGTGTGTTGCTAAGGAAACGTAACAGTTGGAAGAAAGGGCAATACCAAATGATACTCTCGCATCAGTGTCAGATGTAAGCGGTAATATTGGCAAGTGTGGATCAGAATTTAAGTCACTGACATTCTGAGTTGGAAGGGGAACTGGGAGGTCTTTAATCCAACCCCTATACAATGAATGGATCACTTACTGCAACACCTCCAATAACAAGAGGCTGTTTAATCTATGCTTGAACACCTCACTACTTCCTGAGACAGCCCATTCCTCTTTTCAGACTGTTCCAACTGACAAAGTTTTCCTTAAATAGAGGCAAAACTCCCTCTTTTTTTACCCGGAAACTCTAGTTCTGCCAACCAGATTCAATAAAAATAATTTTACTCTGTAGCAGTCTTGCAAATGTCTACCGTTTCCATGCCCCACCCCCTGCACTCCTTCACTCTTCTCTGAGTTAAACTTCTACTGTTCTTCCGACATTCTTCCTGTGACACAATATCTAGTTCTTTCAACGCCTTGGTGTTCTCTTCTTGACCTGTTTCAAGTGTTCAATGTTTCTTTCAAAGTGTGATGTCTAAAACAGAATACAATTTTCCCTAACTTGGCCTACTAAGAAATGGCAAAAGTCTCCAGCTATAATAATAACAAATGGACAGGTCAGATTTTTATAGACTTAACTTTTGATCTCTGGTAGCGTAGCGCCTAAGGAACTTGACTGCTAACCAGAAGGCTGGCGGTTCAAATCCACCAGCCACTCCTCGGAAGGAAGGCTGGGCAATCTACTTCTGTAGTGATACTGCCTCAGAAACCCAAGGAGGGGTCGCTATGAGTCGGGTTCGACTCTACAGCACACAACAATGACAACAATTTTTGATCTGATCAATTTTAGAGAATAAACAGAATCTATTTAATGTTTCCTATTTTCTTTTTCTCTGATGTATTAATAATAATAGCTACAGGTTATGTGTCAGGCATATGCTCTACACATATGTTAAGATTTGCTAAGAACACATTTTAAGCTACCTACCATTGCAATTAAATTAATTAATAATCCATCAAAGCAGGCATCTTTCTAGCCACATTAGACTGAGGCAATGAGAGGTGCAATGATTTTATATGGAGTTACATAATGTACCTGTCAAAACCAGGGCATAAAGACTGAACTGACATTTGATTCCCTCATAGTTATTAAAAGGCACAGATTTTGGAGTTACAAACTTGTGTTTAATCCCAGCTCTGCTGTTAAATATTTAACCTTAGGCAGTTTATCTGGGTCTTGATTTTATTATCTGCAAAATGGGGATATTACATGTCTATTATTAGGATAAAATGAGGTAACACAACTATAGCACCTAACAGAGTAGGCAATAAACAAATGCAAGTTAAAATTCTTTTTCCCCATAGAAATGGAGTTCTCCATGGATTTGGTTTTAATGATCCATATGTTAAATGGGTTAAAAAGGTAACTGAGTGCTATCCAAATGGAAATGAAAGAAACAGCAAAACTGGAGGTCAGAAATTGTCCAGACCACACAGATCACTCACTGGCCACTTGAGAAGATGGCTGGGTCTGATATATGGAAACAAAGGACAGGTCTCTTATTCGCTGATAAACAGCATTCTGGCTGCCGACAAGACAACGGGCCACCTTGAGATGACATATTCGTTTCTTTAAGAGCCAAACTAAACTAGGGGTTCTTCAGATTGGGTACAATCTTTCCCCCTCTCCTATGATTACAAGTATGACCTACTGAGAAGAGTTTTACCTTCTCAGTATGTAAAACTGGAGAGGAGACTTAGGGGTCTGTCTGGAAGGTGTGTGTGTGTGTGTGGAGAGGTGGATTATGAGGGCAGGAACAAAGGATAGTGGGAAGGAGAAGGAAAAGAGAGGAAATTAAAGCATGACCACAAAGTGAGTCAAGAATTCCCCACAAAAGATTTTTTCATAATGAAAATATTGGAACTGGAAAAGGGGAATGTTTTTTGCCATATTAAATATAAGCATTATTTCCACATAGACATGCATATCTCTAAATGTTAAGCCTCACATTTTTCACTGCATGTATTATTGCAAGTGGCCAAAAACGAAAATCAACTTTCCCATTTTAGTGTTGGTACACTTCTGCTTAGGTGTTTGTATCTACTATTTCATCCTAGGTAACATTGGTTCATCAGTCTCATGCCTATGTTCTAGAAAGTATCACTACATTTTACCTAAATCAGGAGACGGAGATACTGATAAATTACATTCACATAAGGAGAAAGGACATATCAGTGCTTTAGGACACTTCGAATACACTGAAAACAAAAGCAGTACAAGCCAAATAATTTATCAACAATGTGCTGGATTCTTGAACTAGAAGAACACCTCTCACTGACACCTCCCTCCCCATTAAAATTTTACTAAATACCTAAATGTTTTTATTTTCTCAGTGCAAATTTCTGATTATTGAACACTTAAAATTTCTTAAGAATTATACTAAAATGTAAATGATGCTTATATTTGAGTGGTAGGCTTTATAATAACTGTTAAACTTTTTTCTCTGTTTCCCACAATAAATATCTATTACTTTAAATTGAAAAATTTCATTTTTATTCTTAAGTCTATAATCTTCCAATAAAGCCCAGAAGTCTCAAATTTCTATGAAATAAATCCAGGTATTATAACATGAATTAGAAATGGTGTTGAACTATACTTTGCTAGGCCTTCAGCTTGTTGTCAGGCCTTTCTAAGAAATTCAATACTGTGCTTCTGTTGAGATTCCGTTAATATCTGTTTTTTATATTACAAATGGGTGCTGTCGCCCCTAAGAACCCACAGGAGATTCTGTTCTCAAAACCCTACCAGGAAAAAGCTGTACACCTCCAAGTTCTTTTTATTATTGCCTTAGTGGTCAGGAGAACAATGACAAACTTGTGATCTATCTTTGCAGTTATGTGGGACTTCATGGCATACATCTGTCTGTAACAATTTTACTTCTAGCTTTACTTTGGCATTATGGTAATTAAGTTTGTGTGTCAACTTGGCTGGGCCTGGTTGAGTGGCTGGGCAGCTGGATGCAGTTATTTCCCATGGTGAGGCTGGTAATTAACTCCTTGGTGGAATCTTTTGAAACAGCTAAGTAGCTGCTTTAGGGATGTGGTCTGCTTCTCATAGATAAGCAGCAGCTTTGGGAATGGTCTCTAGCTTATAGCACTCTTGAACCCTCCATGTAACTGAGTCGTTGTTCAGCAGCCTGCCATGTGGTTTGGTAACACTGGGACTGTGCTTTTTTACTTGACAACTTTGGATTTGTCAGCCTCAGCAGCTAGCAGCTGTCTGAATGAAGAAAAGCTTCTGGCGTCAGTGGGCCAGAAGCAGGAGGCAAAGCTGAAGCCCAAGGCTGAGGGGCTTTCACCCAGCTCCTAGAACCTGGCACTTTGAATTCGGACTTAAAGCCTCTGAACTGTAAGAGAATAAACTCCTGTTTGTTAAAGCTGTCCCATTTGTGGTATCTTCTGTAAGAGCAACACTAGGTAATCAAAACAGGTATTATACCTTATTTTTCAATTATTCTAATATCTTTACCTTAAAATACAAAATGAACCAAAAATCTTGTTTATCAGCATATATTTTTGTGAGTCATTATAAATACATTTCGATATGTTGCAGGAAAAAAGTAATACAATATGCAACCAAGGTTCAATGAAACCCATTTTTATTCACTCTGGAAGAACTATAGAATTTATTTAAAAACTAACCACCAGCAACCACTTGCCAGTATTTTTCTTCGTAAACACAAACCATCCACTTCATTTGATCAGTGAGAATCAGTCAATGACAGAGGTCATTGGACTGGTGCAATGTAAAGAACGTTCCTTAAATCCTAATCCTCTTCCAATTTCCTTTCCATTCCAACCTCACCCCTCTGTCTCTCCTCTTAACCTTCTATAACATAAAATTGAAACGCATTTCCATTGTATTTACTGAAAATTTTTTTCTTGCTCTCTATGCTTACAGTAAGAAACTTTAAAATGTTCTTAATTAGGGAATACATCATTTACTTCTAGTCTTTTTTTCTATGATTTTTCTCACCCTATACAAAAACAAGTATTAATGCACATCACAGTAAGATATTATTCATGGGAAAGCCATACAAATAACTTGAATCTACATATTTTTATCAAATAAATATTTAATGCTAAAAAAATTAATACTTACTATTTACAGAATCTTCTGACTTATTAGAGGATGAATGTCCTATAAAGAAACAGCACTATTTGATTAAGAATCATCTTCTTGTCACACAATAGTTGTAGCTGTAATTTTTCTCCAACATTCTTATTTGTTGTTTATAAGATAAACATTCATTTTTCTGGTCTATTATGCTTCTTAGTCTTTCTCCCCTCTCCAGTTAAAATGTTAGGTTCTCTCTGGCAGGAATCATATCTTAGACTCTTTCTTGTATGGACTAGAATACTTAGTACATAGCTTAAAAAAGAAGTACCTGTAAAAATTCTCATGTTGCTAAAAACAAAAACAAAAACCTCAAAGATTAGCTGCTATATAATCAATACTTTCTTTTACCTATGGAGATATTCAGCATCTGAAAGTTTACAGGTAAGTACTTGTTTTATAACACTCCAACATCATATTACATAGGTGAGAATTAGATCACTGAAATTGGATAACCACACATACAGCTTTGTGATAAAACAAAAACTCCCAGCTCTACAATAGTTACCAGTGCTGAAAACAGAGAATAGTATTGAAGATCTACTAATGTAATTAAAAAAAAAAAAAGTTATAAATATACACAGCCTCAAGGGAAAAATTTCAGACGGCTGTTAAAACAAAAAAAGAACAGGTAACAGATGGAGAGTCATAATCCCTCCAACTGTCCTGAACAGGCCATTACACAATCCAAAGCTGTCGTGTGAACAGCCCCTTTAAGGCCTGGGTAAGAGGGTGGGGCATTCCAGGGTGGTTCAAACCCTTATCAACTGGGCTGCTAGGCTGCTAACCAAAAGGTTGGAAGTTTGGGCCTACCCAGAGGCACCCCAGAACAAAATCCTGGTGATCTACTTCGGCAAAATCAGCCATTGAAAACCCTCTGATGCACAGTTCTACTCTGACACACATAGGATCGCCAGGAGTTGGAACCAATACCATAGCCACTGCTCTTCTCTTTTTTCAAAGAGGATATGAGAACTAGAGTAAAGACTTCAATGACAGTCAAGGCCTGGAGTGCAGTAAATGTTTTTTCACTCCTAATTATCTTCTATAGAAGCTCTGGTGGCACTGTGGTTAAACCATTCAGCTGCTAACCAGAAGGTCAGTGGTTCAAACCCACCAGCTGCTCCACTGGAAAATGTTTACCTCTGTAAAGAATTACAGCCTTGGAAACCCTATGGGGCAGTTCTACTCTGTCCTACAGGGTCACTGTGAGTGGGAACTGACTCGGTAACAATGGGTTTATTTGTTGTTTTAATTATTTTCTACTCATCAGAGAGTAAATAAAAAGACAGTGAAGCTTCAGATGGCAACCAAAGAAACTTATTCTTCTATACCGTCTCCTGATATGGGAAGGATGATAACTGCTTCCAAATATCGAAAAGTCAATAGGCAAAAATGAAGTTAGGCTTATTCTGGGAGGCCTATAGTGTATCCTTTCAACAATGTTTCCAAAGTCCATCTCTGATTTTTCTTTCAACTCTGAAAAACTGTGGTTGAATCCACAGATTCATGAACTAACATTAATTGAATGCCTACCAGGTGGAATAAGCACTTACTAGGAAGTAAAGATAAGAGAATTAAATAAGTAATATAGCCCTTCCTTCACACAAAATAAATTATTCCAAGGGTAGTATGTATTTCTAAAGAAGGTACAAGGTGCTACTGAAATGTGTAACAGAGACCTAAATTTGTCTGAGTGGGAAAAAGGTGTCCAGGAGGGCCTTTCCGAGAAAGTGATCTAAGCTAAAAACTGAAGGATGAGGTGGCCTTTGGGGACGGGGTGATGAGAAAAGGGTAAGATTCTAAACTTTCTGCCAAGACAATCTACTTAAGTATCTTGTTATTAATTACTCTTCAAATTTGGGCCAAATTAATGTGGTTTGGCAAGAAGGAATCACATCAAGATCAACTTATGTGACAAGCTGAGATAAGAAGATGTTATAGTTCTGCACTGTTTTCCTAGTTGTTGTTGTTGTTATGTGCCGTCGAGTCAGCCCTGACTCATAGTGACCCCTCCTTGGGTTTCTGAGGCAGTATCACTACAGAGGTAGATTGCCCAACCTTCCTTCTGAGAAGTTTGCTAAAATTTGTCATTTTTGTTTTATACCATTAGAAGCTGAATAACAGAATTACCTCCTGGACTCTCTGCTCTCAAAGATGCTAAGTAGAGAATAAATGAAACCACATGAATATGTATGTATACTCTAAAAAGCCCAACACCATCCCTGATCCTGAATATCCAGCTCTGACGGGATAGTAAGTTAACACACTCAGCTGCTAACCAAAAGGTCTGCCTTTCTAACCCACCAGTGGTTCCATAGGAGAAAGATGAGGCAGTCTGCTTCTGTAAAGATTTATAGCCTTGGAAATCCTATGGGGCAGTTCTACTCTGCCCCACAGAGTTACTATGAGTTGGAATTGACTTGATAGAAGTGCATTAATCCTGTTTTGAAGGTATTAAGTCAAATTTTACAAGGAAGTACAGTTTTTCTTTAATTTGGAATATGCAGTGATTAACACATAATAATAGCATAATATGAACATAGTATTATACAATGTAATAATGAAACAAAATTCTGAGATAGGCATAAAATTTTTACTAGCACATGAGGCTGAACAAAATTTTAAAAATCAAATGAGATTCTCATACTTACTAATTAAAATTTATTCTGGGGTTGGGAAACAGTTAAAATAGAAACTAAAAGGCATCTTTCTCAGTAAACAATAGAATAATAGTATCTTACTCTCACCATCTATCAAATTTTACCAAATTAAAGCTTGGTTACACTATATGCTGGAATATTTTAATACTGACTACATAAGGTATATACTAAGATACGTAAGAAAAAGAAAAATTTATGTAAGAATACAACCTATATTATTATCTTCATAGTTGGAGCAAGGGAGCCCTCTCTTGTCCAAGTATTCTATTAACACTGGCCTAAATCTAATTCAATCTTGCATTCTCTACCTATTTTAAATGTGACTGGTATATTTTTGTTTTACTCCTGGTAAGTTACAGCCAATTTGGTTCTACTTTATTATGGATAATTAAGGAGCTCTGGTGGCACAGTGGTTAAGGCATTCAGCCGCTAACCAACATGAGAAAGAAATGAGGCAGTCTGCTTCCATAAAGATTTAAAATCTTGGAAATCCCATGTTCTACTCTGTCCTACAGGGTTGGCTGTAAGTTGGAATTGACTTGATGGCAGTGGCTTTTTTTTTTTTTTTTTAAATTCTTATTGTGATCTGAGTGAAAGTTCACAGAGCAAATTCATTCCTCATACAGCAATTCACATATACTTTGTCTCATGACACTGACTGCACTTTCCCACAATGCAACAGCTCTCCTTCCACCTCCTCCCCATACCTACCTCTTCCCTGTGTCCTTCCCTCCCATGCACTCCTGCCACCTGAGCTGTCACCCTGTGCACACACAGCCCTTCTATTCTCCCAGGAGTGATCTCTCCAAGGAGGGTATCTACCTAATGTAAATGTTCAACTCATATGCCTGTACTTTGTTTGGCTGGAAACCACAGGAGTGGTTTCAATTCCAGACCTGAAGGGCAGCTAGGGGCCATAGTGTCAGGGGTTCCACTAGGCTCTATTGATGGCAGTGGGTTTTTTGGTTTTATTATGGACTTAAAAAAGCAACTAGAAATAACCTTCAACTTAGCTAACTATATGTCAAGTACTATGCAAAATGCTTACATTCACTATCTTATTTCAATTTTTGAACAATCCTGACAAAGAACTATTATCATTACTAGTTTACATATGAAGAAACTGAGGCTTGGAGAGCTTAAGAACTGCGGAGAAAGAAGTAAAAGGTTGACTGATGGATCTGAACTATTTACCAAATATATGTACACGTATATATGTGCAAGTATACATCTGTTAGTATCGTGCTAGGTTCTGAGGCTACAGGCATGTATCAATGTCATTTCAAGAAGTTCATAAGCTAGTGTGAAAGTCATATAGATCATTTTGGGAGCTCTGTTAGCATTGTGCCTAAGGCACCTGACTGCTAACCAGAAGGCTGGCGGTTCAAACCTACTAGCTACTTCTCAGAAGGAAGGTTGGGCAATCTACTTCCATAGTGATACCGCCTCGGAAACCCAAGGAGGTGTCACTTTGAGTTGGGTCCAACTCGACGCAAATAACAACAACAACAACAACAATAGATCATTTTAACTGAAGTCATAGTGTTATAGTTTTATATTGACTTACAGGTTATGTATTGTTTTACAGTGCTCAAAGTGTCTCTCACATTATTTGAGTCTCCTGAATGAGCTTGAGGAGCATAGAGGCCTCTCTACAATGTGAGGAAAGTAAAACTTGAGAAGTTCAGTAACTTGCCCAATGTCACAAGTCTGCAAAGTGACAAAACCAGGAGTCTGAATCCTGTTTATATTATACCACGTGCCAAAAAAGGAATCAAAGTCAATCTTGTTCTCACAATACCTGCTGTTGTTGTTAGCTGCTGGTGAGTATATTCTGACTCATGGCAAGCCCATGTGTGCAGAGCAGAACTGCTCCACAGGGTCTCATGGCTGTGACCTTGTAGAAGCAGACTGCCAGGCCTGTCTTCTAAGGCACCTCTAGGTAGGTTCTAGTCATCAACCTTTTGGCCAGCTGTCAAGCATCTAACCGTTTATGCCACCCAGGGGCTCCATACAGCTCCTATAAGCCACTGTGAATTCCAATCTAAATTTCTAACCAGTTTCCTTTTATCTACTATAAAATAAAATTTTAAATACATTCACCAACTAGATTCTACACTTGAGACATAAGTCAGATTACATTTAATGTTTATAAATGTGAGTAGACAGTATATCTTAACTTCTATTTACCTTTATCCTTTTTCTTTGAGGTTTCTTCTTCAGAAGATAATCTGGATTTCTTATGGGATGACTCTTCACAATCTTTTTTTATTCTACCCTTTCTGTTTTTCAACTTGACTTCTTTTTTCCTTTATGCAAACAATATAAAATAAAAATTAACGTTTTCAAATGACCTTTAGAAAAAATAAAAATCAATTAGGAAAAAATAACATCAGTAAAAGTACTTGTTTTGAAAAGTAGTTTGTATAATAGATACTCTTAACCCAAATCATACCCAATGCCATAGAGTTAACTCTGAATCACAGTGATCCTACAGGACACAGAACTACTTCATAAGGTTTCCAAGGCTAAGAAGCTTTATAGAAGCAGACTGACTCATCTTTTTTCTGCAGAGTGCTGGTGGGTTCAAACCTGACATTTTGGTTAGCAAATGAATATCTTCACCACTGCACCACAGAGCTTCCAGAAATTCTTAAAGGGGTCTATAAATATTTTAGGTTAGTATATTAAGTAAGATAATTCTGTAGGATAACAAGGCCTGAACATTTTGAGACAAAGAATTATTTTTTGTCAGTTCTATATACAAGCTTAATAAATACATAGTTCAACTCATTGTTTTCATATTCTTTCATGTAGTCATTTAAAAGAAAATTATAAAAACAAATCTTACTTCCCTCCACATAATTCACACTGATCTATACTTTGGAAAGGAGCTCTGGTGATGCAGTAGTTAAAGCATATGCCTGCTAACCAAAAGGTTCAAATCTACCAGCTGCTCTACAGGAGAAAGATGAGGCAGTCTACTTCTGTAAAGATTTACAGCCTTGGAAAATCTATGGGGCAGTTCTAGTCTGCCCTATAAGGTCATTATGAGTCAGAATCAACTACATGGCAGTGAGTTTGGTTTGGTTTATACTTTGGAAAAGTACACAAAACATGAAGAAGCTGCTTTAATATCTGTAAACCACCAATAAAAAGAATATTCTCCTGTTAAGAATAAAGGAATGTAGTAAAAGTATAAGGAATGAGGGTGGAAGGGGCTCTTTGTTAACTCATATGCTAGCTTCAGATCATTTATCCTCTTACTGCTGTAGTTTTATCGCATCTGGTCCAGGCTTACAGGTTGTCAGTAATTTAATTATTTGATGGACAAATAATTAATTTTAATTGGACAAAAAAAGAAATAGCAAACGATGCTGAAATTGGGACTGGGAAGGAGGATAAAGACACAAAGAAGATTACTTTCAAGACACCTGTTTATCAGACTTTCCAAATTAAGGCACTTAGTGATGGATTCTAAAATACTATTTCAGGGAGTAACCACCATTTTCTTCTTCCATAAGAATCATTTCAAATTTGAAATAAAGCTCAAAAATCAAGGTCCAAAAATGTCTGACTTCTTTTAGTGTCACTGACAGACAGGAGAAATAAAGGTTTAGGTTATTTAAGAATCTAAAATCTCTTGCTAATTTCAGGAATTAAAAATTACTAAATATTTAACAGCTAGCCTACTAGGCAGATCACATTTATAATAAAGCTGACTGTAAAATGAATATATTTATATACTTATTTTATAAGGTCACAGAATTTCACTATTACACTTTCAACTATTATTCAGGACATGTAACCTGGAGGCACCCGTATGTCTAGGACAGATCACAGACTTTGTCTAAACATTCTTACTGCTAGAAAATCCACTAATTTTTATTTACCACATGCCAGGCACTGTGCGGGGCCGACTCAACGGCACATAACAACAACAACAACAAGGCACTGTGTAAAGTACTTTACATGCACTTTCATTTCATTCTCACAATAATCTTAGTGTCTTCATTTTTACAGGTGATAAAATTCAGTCTTACAAGGGTAAGCAGCTTGCCCAAGAAGCCAAGTAAGTAGAGTAGCTGAGAGTAATATTCAAGACTTGTATAATTTAAAAATCCACGATCTTATCATCCTACACTACACACTTCAGGACAATGGTCCCACAAGGGCAGCAGATACATTCAAGGCCATTCACTAGGAGCCTGATTTTAACATTTGAAAGGAATGTTAAACAGAACAAAACACCCATTCCTGCAGAGTAGATTCTGACCCATATGTATAATTCTTAGTAAGAACGATAAGCCCTAATTGCAATACTGTTTAAAATGATAGAGAAGAACTACTTTATAAAGACTTGCTTTACAGCATAGTTTCTAAGAATATCCTCTGAACATTGGCTCCAAACTGAAAATCTTAACATCCATTTAGACCCTGCGTAGGCCTTCACAAAACTGCTTGGTTACCGCAGGGCATGGAGAACTTCCAGTTCCCTGGTTTATGTATGCAGTCATACAGTAATGTCTGATATTCTCTACACCCAAACACTTCTACCATCAACCACCTAAAGCTACATTGAGATACTCAGTGCAACTAAATGATGACATCGAAGACTACTAAACATTAAGAATGACATTTTAAGAGGCAGTATTACCTGTGATGAAAATTTAATTTAAAGGAACATTCTTGGCATAGTCCTGGGGGCGAAAAAAAAGACACCATTGAATGGCTGAATTTGGATAACTACACTGCTACTCTTAATATAACAAATTCTCATTTTCCTTATATTCCTTTATTATTAGAGAAAAAACAAATAATCTAAAGAAAACAAATGGTCTCTGGCTCAAAAACTACATTTACATATGTAATAAAAACAGTGTTAGAATGAAGAATTGAAAAGATTCTAACATTACATCAGCAAAGTGTGCTATCAATTTATGCCCAAAACAAACTGTGTCCTATCTACCAATAATAATGTGGGTGGAGTCATCTCCCCTGAAGAACTCTACGACTGGAAAAGAGCTTTTCAAATAGTCTCAAAATTGTGGCATTTTCCTGTGCCTTAATCTCAGTTCATACTGGCTCAATTTTTCTCATGAGCATTTCCACGAGGAATTCAGAAACAAGTCTGTATTGATGTGCGTTAGTTCCATGTGGAAATTTCTTGACTTAGTTGGCAGAAAACGCTAAAGGCACATTAACTCAGAACCCAAAGAAGGCCGTTAACATGATGAGCAGGGAGGAGATGACTAGCTAAGTCAGGACTAGCTAAAAATTCAAAGAAAAAAAAAAAAGGAATAGTAGATTCTAAAATATGCGTATTAAGGGAAATTGCTGCTTTCTGGGGAATATTCCTAAGCTTTTAAGACTGATAACAAGAACAATTACGCCCTCCTAAATTTTTTTCTTTATGGACATTGTCAAAAAGAGTGCATTTACTTATTATCCACACCACAACAATATGGCTAAATAATTTATTAATTTGAGATTTTCCATGCCTTTCTGATACTCAGCATCTTAACCAAGTGATCAGATGACATTCTTAAGTTAATGGGAAGAGATCTATCTTCACTCTACAAATCACCCGTTTATACTTGGCATTAGAATAGTTTCACCTAAATGTCACCATAATGCTAAGAACATAAAAATTTTAGGCTCAAAAATTCCTTGGGAAGCTCTAAGGAAAAGAGCAGCTAGAGAAAGAATTCTGATTAAATTTTAAACCATCTGTATGTTTTTAATTCTATACAATAAATTAAATTTTGGAGAAATCAATCATATCCCTCCTAATGTCAACTTACTTAATTTAACAAGTGCATTTCTCTTTTCACCATGCTCAATATAACCAAAGTTAACTTCCCAACTCTTCAAGCCTTCTTTTACGTCACAACATTTATTTCCACAGAAAAACTGACCTGCAAAAAAGGGAAGGAATATTAGCCATGATAGATGGTGACAATTATTTATCTATCTTATCTGGTATTATCCTTAAGTTTTAAAATATATAAATCTTCAGCTTTAGAAATTCAGTATTAAAAAAGGACTGACCACATAATTATATTATGTTCAACACAAATGTATATGGGTAACAAATCAAAGAGCTGAACTGCTTAAAAATAAAATCAGTCACAGAATGCCTGCCTGCCAGATCAAGGTTTATATTTAGACACAGAGTTTCAGTGACTCCCTGTGAGGGACTCTTCACTTTGGAAGATGTAAGTACTGAAGCGTGTACTCACTAATGCACTGAAAGAATAAATGCATTTTCTAAAGTACATGCATTTACACCTGGGTCAATCCTTTTCAGTATTTAATATTAAGACTGATATTTTTAAGTATTAATAACATAATGGTACCTGTCTTAAGTATTAGCATAAATAAAGTACTAAAACATATTTTAAAATTCTAGCACTTTGACATGAAATATAGTAAGTAATCAAACCTGATGCTCTAAATTTTAGAATTAGTTGACACTAAAATAACATACTACCATGTCCATTACATATCACAACCTTCTACAAAAAAAAGGACCAACACTGATGATCTAAAAGAGGGGAAAAAATGAAAAAACTACCCAACAATGTATGATTTGACAGAGAAAACAAGATGAAATTCTTCTATGTACGTTCAAAAAAAGAAGTTATATTAGTAAATAATATCCAATAGGAACAAATCTGAAGCCAGTAAATCCTTTTAATAAAAAAGTGAAAAATTATTTTTTTAAAAAAAAGCACTAAGCACAGATGGTTTTACAGGCAAGTCTCACCAAATCTTCAGGGAAGAGCCATCTCATATATATCATTGTATGTTGGAAGCTCTGGCAGCGTAGTGCCTAAGGCACTTGACTGCTAACCAGAAGGCTGGTGGTTCAAACCCATCAGCCACTCCTTGGAAGGAAGATGGGGCAATCTACTTCCGTAGTGATACTGCCTAGGAAACCCAAGGAGAGGTCGCTATGAGTCGGGTCCGACTCGATGGCACATAACAACAAACAACAATTGTATGTTTGGCTGTTGGCACAGCCATACAGAGAAACTAATTATTTATAGCAATTTTAAAACAAAGCAAAGTGATTGCATATCCCTAGTATAAAGCATATCCCTAGTATGATAAAAGAGATAAAAACCTGCAAAGAAATTTTATGTTGAATTTAGTAGTCTTATTGTTGCTTCAAAATAATGATAGCAACAACACTGCTATATGTATACTGCAAATTAACAGAAATAATTATTTTAGTGCCGCTAGTTACCCAGATTTTCAGGATAAGAAGAGATAGAAGTATAAAATAATATTTAAAAATTAAGTATAAACCATGTCATCTCAATTTGAATTTGATATATCAGTATAAAGCCTGCTTATTTTTCTTCTTCTAAGAAATACATATCTCCAAGTTCTGTTCACTGAAAAAGCATAGAAACAATAACAACCCAGTAACAATGAACATCCTAAGACCCAGACTGTGTCTACTACTTACCACTGTTCACTAAAGGCTCCTCAGAGAAATAACTAATTCAGTGGCAGAAAATGTACAGCTGCTAATCTAGTTCATCTAGTTGTGCCATAAAGTAAGGACATTATCATCAAAATGTATTAAGATTATGTCAAAGGAACAGCAGAGTCACCTTGAAGAGAATTCCACCAACCAAATTACAGGGAAATTTGAAAATTAAAAGAATAAGGGCAGAAATGGATTGAAATACATCAAATATATAAAAATCCATAAAGATAGGTCTCAAAACTCATTTGTATCCTTGGAGATGTCCACCTCATTATTCTAAAAATTAAAAAAGAATCAAACATTCATCCTTTGATAGTTTCTTTGCTATCAAATCTTTAACTCTTTAAACATTTTCCACAAACCCTTAATTCAATGTTCAAAAGGCAAAAATTCTGCAAAATCATGAAAGTATTCTATCTGAGCTTTGCTAATATATCAAAATACACCTTCTGTCATCTTACTTTGGTAGATAATCATTTATTGTATAAATCAGGAATCATCTTACCCAATGATTTTAGTTTAATACTGTAATAAAAGAACCTGTATCTTGTTAAAAAGTTTGAAAATTTTACCTTTTCCTGAAATTACTTCTTTTTCTACTCGCCACCTAAATCCAAACTGGTAAGACAAAAAAAATGCATTAAATTTAAACATTACATTTAAAAGTGTACATAAATCTAAACCTGGAGTCAATGAGTGACATAATGACATTTGCCAGCCTAAAAAGTAAACTTAATTCCCACTCCGATAGCTTTTTCTCCTCTTACAGGATTGTAGGTACTTGAAAAGAAGTTTGAACAACTACCAATTTATCTGTTAAAGAATTATCTTTTCACTTTCAAACTACCTTAAAAGTTATAGATGCCGGGTTATAAGATACCTAGATTAGGAAGTAATAGATACTGTGTTCTATGATATCGACCAAAAAAACAAACAACAAACAAAACCACCAGTTTGTTAATCTAAGACAGTAACAAAACCTAACACCGGTGTTGTATTAAAACTGGTAATTCAGATGAAATGTTCAATGTCTGGCACACAGAAAAGTTGTTAATTTCAGTTATCATTTTTATTATCTATTACATAAAAGGGGTTCTGGTGGTACAGTGGTCACTCAGTTGCTAACCAAAAGGTCAGTGGTTTGAACCCACCAGCCGCTCCATGGGAGAAAGATGAGGTAGTCTGCTTCTGTGAAGATTTACAGTCTTGGAAACCTTATGGAACAGTTCTACAATGTCCTATAGGGTTATTATGAGTTGGAATCGACTCAATGGCAGTAATATACTGTTTTTTTTTTTTTAAATATGGAAAACACAAATATTTAATTTTTAATTTATATACATATTCTCCTCTCAAGTAGACTAACTTTTCCTGAAGGACAAAAACTAAAACCACTGCCACTAAGTTGATTCTGACCCACAGTGACCCTGTAGGAAAGAGTAGAACTGCCCTATAGGATTTCCAAGGCTTAAAATCTTTATGGAAACAGACAGCCACATCTTTCTTCTGTGGAGCGGCTGGTGGGTTCGAGCCACTGACTTTCCGGTTAGCAGCCGAATCCTTTAACCACTGCACCACCAGAGCTCCCTTCTGAAGGGGAGATACCATAATTAATCCATAAAACTCAGCCCAGTCCTCAATAAATACTGGAAAACAATCAGCAGATAAGCCAAGGTTGAACAAATCGCTTTCTTACGTACCCCCCGGAAGATCTAGCATTTCACACTCAATTTGCAATATAGCGATTACACGTAACTCCAATTACTATAGTGCTTTTTGGACTACAAATGGTAAAGAACTAGTAGAGAGACAGAAGCTGCAAACCTGAGTCCATAGCCAGGACAAGTTTTTGAGATGCACCATGTGCATGGGTTTTCAAACATGGGATACAAAATGGATACTACATTATGTATAAGCTACTGTGACAAACATACATGTTAGACACTACTGAAAAAAATTATTAAACCATTAACAATCCTAGTGCAATCCAACTAATTAAACAAAAAAGAAATCCTTATGATATATAAATCTAAGATAGCTTCTTAATAGGTTGTCTTTCATAATATAATATATATACACTATCCATGACATACATATTCATGCAACATTCCCTGTCCTCCTATTTCCAAATGACATGGTGTGTTCACAGGTCATATCCAGCTACAAATGTGAAACTAGAGCTAGGAATAAAAAACAAATTTAATTATCTAAAGTAAGGTATAATGAAAGGCAATCTATCATTACTAATATCCAATGATAAGTTAATTTTATTAGAGTAACATATTTATGTAAAAGATGGATATTTGTCTTTTTATAAATGTTAATCAATTTGAAAAACAACTATCGATTTCAAACATCGGTGAAAGAATCAAAAAATATAATTCTGCTGCATTAGATTACTCATTATAATCTCTCAGAGGAGCTAGATAGAGTCAGCATGAAATAGGACCCAGTAGCCACTTGTATTTAATTTTAGACTTTTCATGTCTCCTCTCACAAAGAAGCATCCTTGTCCAAGGGACTCTTTCTAAATTCCATAGTTGCAGAAGTTAAATGATCCAAATGATATTCTACAAGGGCAAGAAAATTTGGACTAGAGTTTTAAAACTTTAAAAGAAAAATGTGGCCCATGATCCTGAGACAAGAAGAACTAGATGGAAAAAAAAAAAAAAAAAAGAAGAACTACATGGTGCCCAGCTATCACTGCTCACTTCTCTAAAAGGGACATCACAATAGAAGGTCCTGGATAGAGTGGGAGAAAAATGTGAAAGAAAATTCAAAAAGGCCAGGTTTACTGACTGATCTGACCAAGACTAGTGGAACCCCTGAGACTAGGGCCCTTAGACACCCTTCAAGCCTGGAAATGAACTGACCTCTGTGGCTCATCTTTTCACCAAACAATAGACAGGCTGATAAGGTGAACAGTAACACCACGGAGGAATGTACTCTTTAGAATAACCAACTGCACAAGACGAAAAGGGCAGCATTTGCTCAGGGATAAAGCTCAGAAGGCAAGAAGGGATAAAAAAGAAGGACAAAGGGAAATGTAAACACAAGAGGAAGTGGGAAAAGTGTTGTTACACTGTGGGAATTGCAATGAATGTCACAAAACATGTATGAACTGTGGAATGGAAAACCAGTTTGCTCTGTAAACACCCAAATCACACACACACACACACACACACACACAGAGTAATGTGGGATTTAATAAAAATGAGACTTATTCTTGAATATTCTATAATATAAATTTATTATATAATTATCTATAATGCTATAATATATAACATTCTATAAATATTCTGCAACAACAACAAATGCAACACACTGCCCATGAGTCGCATCCGACTCACGATGACTTCTCCTTGGGTTTCCGAGGAGGTATCACTACAGAAGTAGATTGCAGGCATACCTTATTTTCTTTGTATCTACTGAGATCTGCTATGCAGTATTCCTTGAATAATTTATCATAGTACTTCTTTGCAAGTCTCTTCTCCCTAGATCCATAAAATTATAAATGTTACATATTAAGAAATCCAACCACAGTTTGCTACTTGGAACGATGTCAAATAAATAACACATATGATATAAATATTAATGTTTTACAAAAGGCCTGTTACATGTATGTAGAATAGCTGGATGTTAATTATTAATAGTGGTTCTTGAAGGAGATAAAAAAATGTCATTTTGAAGACTAAGGTATGCCTGTCCCAAGCCACAGTACTTTTAATCACCTCATATGTTTGTTAAAGCTGGACAATGAATAAGGAAAACTGAAGAAATATTGATGCCTTTGAATTATGGTGTTGGCAAAGAATGTTAAATATACCATGGACTTCCCAGAGAATGAAAAATTCTATTTTGGAAGAAGTACAGCCAGAATGCCTTTTAGAACCGAGGATGGTGAGACTTCTCGTATACTTTGGACATGTATATCAAAAAAGATTATTCCCTGGAGAAGGACATCATGCTTAGAAAAGCAGAGGGTCAAAGAAAAAGAGGAAAACTTTCAACGAGGTAGATGAAGACAGTGGCTGCAACAATAGGCTCAAACATGGCAGTGTTTAGTTCCGTTGTACGGAGGAGTCAGAACTGACTCAATGGAACCTAACAATAACAGAGGACAGAAACTGGAGGACAGTCAAAGATGAGAGAAAGACTGACTCTCTGCTCCTTACCCTTTGTAGTATTTGCATTTTCAAAACCATCTTTAGGTATTACTTTTCCTCAAATATTTCACAAATTTCCAAGAGGAATATAGTAGCGTATTATAAGGCAAGATAGGGTGAAACCTGTAAGAGCCAGAACTTGATGGGACTGCCTTGTTTTTTTGGGTCTTACATGTTTTCTGTCTATGACAGGGGAACAGTCTTACTACTTTTCTATAGCTCATTTTTGTGGAAAATATTTGAGTTTTCCTTCACTGACAAGTTCCCACCTTACACAAGTTCTGGCTTTTGCAGGTTTCACTGTACTATCTTATAAACAAATGTGATAAATTATTTTTTAAAGATAAAGTCAAGCAATGAGAAGTCAGTTAAAACTGCCAAAAATGACAAAAACACCAAACCAGGTTCAATAATCCTAGGCATGGACTTATGTCCTTAATTCAGAACTGTGCTATGAAAGGGCTGAATGCCCTAGATAAGTGACAAAGTCCAAATACACTAAAGAGCAGAGAGCTCGGACTGAAACATCTGCTGTATTATGCCTCTGATGGCTGAAATTACCAAGTCATGTCCATTTCATCTTCCTCATTCCATAGGAATCTATGATTTTCTCGTATAACATCCAAGTCTGTTTTGTCATTTTCCCTGGAAAATGAAATTTGAATTTAAAAGTCAAATTCAGGAGGTTAAACAGTTCTATGAGACTTTTAAAAACTGTGTAAAAATGTAATAAACATAGCTGTGTGTGTGTGTGTGTGTATATATAT